CTGCATGTGGGAAAGTAAACCCAGGATGCATGGGGAAGGTTTTTTATCCCTTCCCTGCACAGGCGCAATGCATCCTGGGTACAGGCAGTTAGAAGAACAAATTAGCATTGCCAAACAGCCACCTTTCCCGCTCTTTTTAGAAAACATCGTTAAGTGAAACAGGGGACCCAAAATGCAATTGTTCTGTGAAGCATGGTCACAAAATCGTTGTGCGAAAATTCCCCATAGGAAACATCGTTGTGTGAGGCAGCAAATTTTTCAGAAAAAGCCATCGTTGCGTGAGGCACTCGTTGTGCGAGGCACCATTATATATAGGAGCTTTGTGTGTGCATTGCAGTTTTCACTGCATGGGGAACTCATGTTTTGAGCAATCTGTCCAAAATTGACTGTAGATAGTGGTTTAAAAAAACAGTATGAGGGTTTTTCTGTGTGTTCCACTTCAGTTTTGAGTGTAGTTCCTTTCTGCAAATAAGAAAATTTTGAAGCACTACTGCCTGTGGATTAAACATAGGTTCAGATCAGTGGTTCCCAAATTCTGTATCTTTCGAAAATCCTTTCTGTTTAGAAGTGTCTGCTGAAGGATTCATTGCCTCTGTGTGAAGCAAAGGATTTTGGACCATGTTCTAGAGCAGCCATTCTCAACTGAGGCCATATGGCCCCCTGGGGGCCCCTGGCACATTTGAAGCAGCCGCAGACTGGAAACAATTCATCAGACACCATCTTCTAAGGTTTGTTATGTGACTTTTACAGTCCTGATTCAGCCTATATTTCATATTATGTTTATGGCCATGCCCAATAAAAGTTGAGAATGGCTGGTCTAGAGCGCACACTCCGGGTACTGTTTGGTTCTGCATAAATCGAGGCTGTAATCCTAAAATTAAAATGTTCGGATTGCAAGTTATGGATATAATAGTTCTTTTTACTAAGCTGATGTCCTTTGGGATAAACAACAGAGAAAAACATGCCTAATAGAAGTTGGAGATCTATCAACAGGCAACCTCAGAAGTACAAAAAGTGCCAAACATTAAAATAATATAGAAGCTAGATTAGATCCTCCTCTCTGTGCTAATTTCAGCAACTGAAGTTATTCCAAAAGCTTTGGCTAACAATTTAAAACAATTGCCATTAACTAAAATTTTGCATCAGAAACCAGTGCTTATTAACTTTATTTCACTACAGAGTTTTAGGACTTGAGTCTTAATTTCTCAGCTTAACCCCTTGGTCCACCCTTGTGCACCAGCAGTGCTAAGAAGTAACAATAACAGTGTGCCATTAAGTTGATTCCAACTTATGGCCACCTTTTCCAGGTTTTTTTCGTTATAGCATACTGAGCAGTGGTTTACAGTTCCTTTTTCTGAGGTGCTCTGGGACCTTTCAGCTTGCCTAAGGCTACACTGACTGGCTGAAGCACAGTGGTAATTGAGCTGTGGACCTTTGCCAGCACAGCTAGGGACCAAATTTACTGAGCTACATAGCCAGCTGGGAAGTTTCTCACTAGGACTGATTTTACTGAAGATTCAAGCTCCAAGCAGTGTATGTGTTCTGTACAATATTATTTTGAAAACCACCTCTGTAGAGGAACTGTATATATGCGAAGGTGTGGCAAAGGGGTTTTCTAATGTATACTCTTATTTTCTGTAAGCAGGATCTCAATTGTTTGCTTGCATATTTTTCTCAACAAGTGTAATTTTTAGTAAATTTAGTTTATTGTAGGATAAATAAATGTTCACTGAGAATATTTACAGTCAAATAAGCACTGTTTGTCTTCTGCCATTTAGCATGACCAATAGGGCCATGGACGGTGGTGTCTTGACACATAAAAGAACTGATCAGGTAGAGATTTGTATAACCTGGATATTGGTTTTCGAGAGGAGGGTGAAAGTAGGATAGTGTTACATTATGTTCAATGTATTTATCAACATTTCAGTTATTCTTCTCTTTATTTTCTGAGTTTATATAGCAAACATTCTTTGTCTCTTTGGTTGAGTGATGTAAGTACCTTTACACAGTCGTGTAGTTAGTTGTTAAACACTTCGCTTTTAATATGTGGCTATGTAGATCCAGAGCCTTTTAGAGATGTTTGATAGATCTGTACATATTCTGCCTTTTAAGCATAACTCACATCCATATTAATTCTTCTGACAACTGATCGTTATGATGCCAGCTTCATTGATTGAATCATTCAGGTTGTGATAACTGAGACAGTTACTGCCTGTGGGAAGTGTTTTCTATGAAGCCTAATGTGTTTGTAATTTCAGATTAATGGAATTTGCATGAAATGAAGAATCAAAGAAAGAAAATATTAAGTTTATGCCCGATGTATGCACATGTATTGGAGAAGCTAACAAACGATTAATTTTTTTATTGCTGTAAGACCAACATGAGGGTTTAGTTGCCTTCATGTGAGTCGTCTTGTACTGAAAGATAATTTTTTGTGACATCCTAGCTCAATAATGCATTGATGTGCCATGGTACTTGAAGTGCTGTGCTTCATACCATTATGAAAGTCTTCCTCCAGGTGATATGTTCTCGTTGATCAGACAGGGAGCTAAACCACATGAGTGTCGAACTTTAGGACTGCTTCAAAAGCCAGCTTAGTTTTTCATTATGTCCAACTATTCATTTTTGTTGCAGGAAGAAGGATATGTCTTTATTCTACATCACACATGGGTATATGCAGAACTTAGATTACTGTTAAGTTTTGGATCTTTTTTGTATGCAGCTGGATTTGCATTAATTTCAGAAATTAGAATGAATGCATAGGATGTGCCTGGAGTTGAGTTGGAAATGGGAAAAGTCCTTCATATTGTTTTTTTTAAATGGCCAAGTGCCTGTCTTAAGCTGCATGTGAGGTGCTTTTGAACAAAATCAGCAAAGGTTGTGGGAAAACCTCAAGTCACTTCATAGGAAAAATTATGCTATTATAAGATGTCTTTGCAGCCTTATAAATGAGAAATTGATGCTTATTTTTTTTTTAATTTAGAAGGGATGTTAGCTATACTTCAATATACTAGAATGTAATTAGTGCTTGTGTGAATTCTAATGCTGTAAATTTGGGTAGATGATTGACTGCATTGAATTTACATGGATTTGATTTTGATACCAGATAGCTAGTGTCCTTGAAACACAAATTTGTATGCATTCATTTTACAGGATGGTGAAGTGGATGCAGAAGAACTACAGAGATGTCTAACACAGTCTGGAATCAGTGGAACATATTCTCGTAAGGCTTTGTTCCTATCAGATACAATACATCTAATCTGCAAGTAGTCATATTAGCACCAGCATTGTTGTCATCATTTTAATGATGCTGTCTCCTTGATACATACCCTGATAGTAGTAGACCTGTATTACACTTCTCCTATTTTTGATTATCTTAAAATGCAGAAATACTTCTGTTTAGAATTTGGTAGAGGAGAACTTTGATTAAAGTGATGCTTTTGCATGTGTTTTTGTAGCATGTGTAATTAAAACTATAACAAATTATGGTGTCTTCTACTTTTATTGTCAATATAAATCACCATATGCATTTCCATAGCAAAGCAACACAGAACAATTATGTGTCACTTTAATGGTAGTTCTAAAGGCCAATATACAGGCATTCCTCTGATCCCCTTCAAATGTTTATTGTTAGGAGAGCTTATTGCATGTTTGAGAACTAGTTTGGACTAGCAGAACTACCGTGTATTCTTATTCATGCATCTACAAACTTAGGATAAACAACAGAACATATTTTTCAGAATACCAAGGATTATTCGCTAATTCTGTATCTCAAGAGGAAATGATTTCATGGTTGAATTTTTCAAGCTACTAATTTAATTTCACATTGTATTATAATATTTTACATTTTATGCTTTAGATACTACTATAAACTTTTGAATAATAGCCATTTGATGACATACATTTTCTGTTGTGTTTCATTCTCATGTAAGTTCTTATAGACCAGAAATGTTATAAAACTGAACTCTATAAAAGGGAAATAATTTTCATATTAGTTTGATGTTGTGACTCTCATCCTTGACAAATCACCCTTTATTTTGCTAGCTGTTACATCTGCTCACATTTATACAGATTAACAATTTAATTATGCTGCTGATTATTGTGCCTTGAACAATAGTTAATAAGCTGAGGTTGATATTGTTGACCTCACCTTGATTCATCCTTCCCTTATAATTTCAGCATTCAGCTTGGAGACCTGCAGAATTATGATATCAATGTTGGATGTATCCTTTAAAAAGTCTAGATGGAGCTATAGATTTACTTTTGCATGAAACTAGCTAGGGCATATTTGATATATAACAAAACAGAGTTTCAGGGGTTAGGAATTCAGGGCCTTTTTTTATACATTGCCAAGGAGGGAAAAAGGTGGGGAACTAGAACATCCGAACTGTACTGGACATGGCAGTCTAAGAAAGCAACTGTTCATAGAGCTGCAGCCTTATTATGGGATAAATTTACCAAAGTTGGTGGGATTCATTTTTGAGTAAACATTTCACATGTGACTTTTGTCAGATTGTGCTCAAGACTAGGAATATGTGCTCTCTGAGTTGTCCCATAAAACTATAGCAGATCAGTATCTGGTAGTATTTTTTACACTATGAATCTAGCTAGCTTTTAATTCATGAGTAGTAAATAACTAAAAGGTGACCCAGTGCTTTTTTTTTGGTAACAGTTCCCTCTCCCAGGATGTGAATGACTTGAGATGAGCAAAAGAAGGCAGCCAATCCTAAAATAAAACAGCTAACTAAACTCTATGGCCCAGTTTTAAATCTGGAAGCAAATACATTCCAGGTGCTCTGTATTGGTTGGAATCCTGTTCTGCAGCTTTTGTGCAACAGAAGTGACAGCATCAGCAAATCACACAACTTTGTTGCATTGTGTACCAGTCCCAAGTACCCTGAAACTGCTAAAGTTTCAAGCTGCTAATGGCATTATTCTCATTGCTTAGGAGGAAATATTCAACAGGATTTCAGCCATTAAATCACATGATTTGGTTTTCAATTCTGGATGTTGTGTCCTCTGACAACAGCATCTTTTTGGGATCTCTGGCAAGTGTTGTCATCACATCTCATAAAATCATTCAACAGAATGCATGCAAAACATGCTATTTATTGAGTGGCTCATCTCAAATTAGAAAGCAACCTGAGTTTGGATTATAGATTAGATGTGATTTAAATCAAATTGATTTAAATCCCAGTTTAAATGAAAAAAAGCTTTGAGAATACATTGATTTTTTAATACTTAAAAAAAATTAAATTGATTTTTAAATTTTAAATTGTGATTTAAAGTAACTTGATTTTTAAAAAATCATTGATTTTGATCCATCCTGATTGGGAAACAGTGCTAGGGTTATAGAAAAGAATATGGAAACTGTAGTCTTAAGAAAATAACTAACATGAAACATAGTTAATCTTTAGGCACTTCACTCTACTAGGAAGAGATTATAAAGACCGAATTAAATTACCAGTTTTAGAGATTAATTTGGAATGCCAACTAAGCTGAAAGAAAACTCAGTTTGATGCCACTCAAGTTGGTAATTTTTGATGTTATGCTGGGATACTGGAATATCTCATTGTTTTCCATTCTGCAACCTGATGTAAATCTCTTTTAGTTATTATTTTGTAGTAATTGATGGAATGAAATGTAAACACCATCTTTAGTAAGCACTTGAATTGGAAGTGGAATGTGGCTATTGGGAATAAAAATGTATAACTACAGTATTACCTAATTTCCTGTGAGGCCGTATGTGCCTTAACTATATAATATTAGAGAGAGAACACTGGGAAAATGGGATACAATGAATTTAAGGAACTGTGGGCCGCTCTCAATGCTTGGAAGCAGAATTTCATGATGATTGATCAAGACCGAAGTGGAACTGTGGAACTTCATGAATTGACTCAAGTCATTGTCGCTATGGGTAAGACATCCTCAAGTCTAATACAAATATTTGGCTCAAATATTTGCTATAATAATATTCCTTGTTCTCCAGTAACAGGAGGCTAGATCAAGTGTTGTATTCACAGAACGAAAATGCCTGTAAGCATAGTTGCACAGAATTTCAAGTAGCACTGTGAACATGTGATCTACTTTGTGTAGCTGTTTACCCAGCAAACTACTGCCACTTTAGTGCAGACTCTTCACATGTATATTCTTTAGTCCAGTGGACCTTGTACTAGGGCAGTGATCGGACTGGATGGAGGCTTTGAGTTTCTTGTGGTTTTTAAACACTGAAATAAATTGCATTCAGGTTGGAGTTCTACTTGTTTTGTTTTTGCTTTATATAAAAACAGTATTGTTACAATTTGACACTTTTGGTGTTGGGTTAATAATAATTATAATTATAAACTAGTTCTGTGTATGGAAAGACAAGTGCAGAAAACCCTGGGTTAAGTACTATAACACATGAATAAAGAATATCTGACATTTGAAGGATTGTGTTATACAGAATAAAAGCTGCTTCTCATTCACAACTACTGTAAATGCATAGCTCCCATGGCAAGCAGAGGAAAAACACCATCAGCCTTCTGTTTAGGTGCAATAAAGGCTTATTAATATCTAGGAAGGAATATTCAGCAGCAGACACCGGTCTGGAAACTGCTCCTTCAAAACTAAAATGGGTGATCTAATTGCACACTAACAAGGTGCATAATTCTCTTCTGAGTTGCCCACTGTTTTTCTCCTGCAAACAGTTTCTAATAGATGGGGCTTAAAACACAAAAGTACACATTGAAAGTTAAATTGTTTGAGGAGGAAGTATTCCTGGCCCACCACCTGCTTCTCTGCTTATAATTCACCCCTTCCAGCTGCTTGGATCCCCATATTCCCAGATGCAGATATGCTTTTGAATGAGTGTCTCCGTCCTGAGCATAATCAATCCAAGTGGCCTTGTTGCATTTAGGCAAGGTAGACCATGGATACTGTACAAAGTACCTTGGCATTTTATGACTACTGAAGGTAGCAGTACTCTATGTAGAAGGTAATGCTGATCCCCCCCTCACTTGACAGCTGCCTTCTGCAGTTTGTTTATGAGTGTTGAATTTGAGTTTATCTTTGAATAGACTGTGGCTGCCAGAAACTGCATGTGTTAAAATTACAATATTGAAAGGTTCTTCTAAAACATCTACTCCTCTGATAAGCTTGTAAACATACTCCCCCCCCTTCTGCCTCATCGTAGGTTATAGGCTAAGCCCACAGACATTAATTGCTATTGTGAAACGTTACAGCAAGAATGGGAAAATATTTTTTGATGACTACGTGGCTTGCTGTGTGAAGCTTCGAGCTTTGACAGGTAAGATATGTTGTTTGCCACTTATCAAAATAGTTCAATACTTGGTACCTGTACCGCATTGTTATAACAAAGTGAAAACTGTCAAATTCAGGTGCCATTACATTTCATGGATTTAGACATACAGCTGTCTTGTGTGAGTGGAAAAAGCTCTTTGCTTGATCAAGGCATTACCACCAAATTTTCCTGTTATTTTTTGACCCTCCATCCTGCCACAACATCAGTGCCCCATCCTTTGTTGCTCAGGGATGTTTAGATTCTGTGCAAAGAACTGAAGGAGGACCCAGGAAATCCACATCATGCAAGTGGAATTCTGCTTGATCCTCTCTGGATCCATCCAAAAACCCCATGCAATACTGCTCGAACATTCTCAACTTAAAATTTGGATCAGTTTGAAGTATGATTTGGCTAAAATCCTGTTCCATAACTTATGCTTCTGGAATTGTGATGGTATCATCTATAGGGGGAAATTTAATAATTAAAGCCTTACTCCTCTCCCATGGTTCATCCAACTCATAAGTAATTTATTTCATTTCAGTGGTACCTTGCTAAACGATGAATCCGCATGATGATGACTTTTTGCAATCGCTATAGCGATTCTCAAAACAGTCATTCCTATGGGCGATTTTCACTTAGCGACAATTAGGTCTGTGTTTCGCGAACCGTTTGTTCGCAAGACAATGATTTTTTCAGCTTCGCAAAATGGCTGCCCTGTGTTTTCTGGACCCATGCTTCGCAGGGCAGCCATTTTTACAGCTGATCAGCGCTTGCAGAATGGCTTCCCTATGGGCGATCTTCGCTGGACGACGAGGTATTTTCCCCAATGGGACACATTAAACCGGGTTTCAGTGCATTCCAATGGGGAAAGGGTTTTCGCATGACGACGATTTCGCTAAACAGCTATTTTCCCAGGACGGATTATTGTCGTCATGCGAGGCACTACTGTATATGGAAGCCATGGAGTGGAAGGAGAATATCTTGAATTAGCAGCTTTCACGCAATGAAGTGCATTATTTGTGCGTCAAACAGGCCACACAACAGAAGAAATTTTTTTACTGAGTATCTCCCCCTGCAGGTAAGCCATCACTCTCCTGCAGGTATAATTTAAACTATAGGATTTTGGTCACTGAGAAGATTGAAAACAATGACTTTAAAAGTACTTAGTTCCTACACTTAACATTAGGCAAATGCGGCAAAATATTTTAAATGCGATTAATTTTGTTTGAGAAATATTGTGTCCAATACAATTCAGTTGAGTTGAACAGGGCTTTACTTTGCTGTAGTTGGCTGTGTAGCTCAGTGGGTTCATGCAGGGGTTGGGAATACCATCCCCTCCTGTCCTTCCTGGGAGAAGAGCGAGCCTGTATTCTGTTGGCTGAATTTTGTTATCCCAGGGCTCCACCAGAAGAAAGGACTGGCATACCACTTGTGCATACTGATGAGGATAATCCTAAATTTGAATTGACCTGACAACAGAACTTTAAATTTTTATTTTTTTACTTAGTTGTGTATTCGTTCAAGGTGTTACCAGTGAGGCTTAAGTTTATATGCATAAGCTCAGGATTGTTTCTCAAAATGTTCATGGTATCAATTTATCACCATTTTATTTTTCAAGACTTCTTCAGAAGAAGAGACAGCATGCAACAGGGCGTTGTGAATCTTGTCTATGATGATGTAAGTAATAAAACTGCAAATTTGTTACTCAGACTTTGTTAGAAACTATACTGTGGAGGTGCTAGTTTTAAACTGTTTTTTGTAATCTTTCTCTTGTCTGTTAAAATTATGTTGACTATTTCAGTCTCTTTCACAGTTGCATAGGACCCTATTCACTAAGCAAGTTTTCCTTGTCCTCAGATTATTTTTCCCCAGAAGCCTAGTACTATTCTAGTTCCAGGATAGTAAATCTATAAAACCTTTCATATGAATTTTAATAATATATCAGGTATGGCAATTGAAAATCCACAAAAATAAGTAATTATTTTTTAAATGGCACAATATGTGCCATATTTATTTTACCTCAAGTCAGAAAAGTTTTGTTTAATTTTTTATTATTATTAATAAGCTACAATCCTCTAGTCACATAACAAAAAAGAAAAAAGTAATAATTACCTATACAGTTACACTTCCAATAATTTTCTTACCTGTAGTATGCTAATAATATTTGAGCATTTATAGATGTTCTACGTCTAACCCTACAGTTACTCAAACTATAGAGTTTAATACGATAGGTCAGTTTTTCTATCAGAGCCAGTCTCCATATTCTATTTTGAAATCTTTGCAAGAACAAGTCCTAAGCATCCTTCCAGTGTTGGTCAGTTTCATTACAGGCTCCTCCAAATATAATTGCAATTAGTTCTTGATTCACAATGTTTTTATTCCCGCCCGTAAATAACGAAAAAAGTAGCAAAGTTGCATTTGAGAGTATTTTTTTCTTTTGTTATACTTTCTAACCACTTTACCTCAGACCAGAAAATTTTAACTCTTGGGTATGTTAACCACATATGTTCCAAAGTTCCTTTATTTCTGCACTTCCTCCACCACATGTCTGATATTCCTTCATTTATTTTATTTAATTTTACAGGGTATAAGTGCCATCTGTGCACTACTTTTAACACTATTACTTTAGCTTGAAATGAAAGTGATTTGTAAGGTTGAGAGGTCCATTTTCTTTTCCATGTGTTTTCTAATATTTCAGTTTTTAAGTTTGTTTCCCAAACTCTTGGATCCCATATTGTCCCAAATGTTTTATCTATAATACATTTATATGTTGCTGAAATTAACCCTGTTTTTCTTTTATTCCCTATCTCTATACAATATTTCTCTATTTCTGTTAATAGTTTATTTGAGCCTGGTGTTTTATGCATTTGAATTGCCAAATTTCTGATTTGGGCTATCTGATACCAATTAGTTGCTATATATCTAGTTTTCTCCTGGAGCTGTCTGATTCTAATAGGTTTTCCTTGTGTAAACAAGTCTCTTACGTTCCTCTTTTCATTGTTTAAATTGTGCATACAGCATTTATCTTGAATTTTAAGTTTAGGGTTTTCTAATATATGACATAATGGAGATATAGGGGGAGCGAAGATTATCATATATTTCCTCCATATCCGGAGTAATTATTTAGTAAAAGGATTCCGTATTTGTTTTTTCATTTGTCAAGATTGTTTATATAAATATACAATGGTGCCTCGCTTAGCAATGTTAATCGGTGCAGCAAAAATCGCTGCTAACTGAAAACATCGCGAAGCGATTTTAAAAAGCCCATAGGAATGCATTGAAACCCCTTCAATGCATTCCTATGGGCTTAAAACTTACCTTTAAACGAAAATCCTCCATACGGCGGCCATTTTCGCTGCCCGGTATGCGAGGAATCCGTCCCTAAACACAGCGGGCGGCCATGTTTTTTACCCGGTGGCCATTTTGGAACCGCTGATCAGCTGTAGGAAAAAGATCGCTATGCGATAATCGGTAAGCAAAACAGCTTACCGATCATCGCAAAGCGATTTTTTCCTATTTAAAACGTCGCAATGCAATCACTTTTTTGATCGCAAAATCTTAATCACTAAGCGGTTTCGTCGTTAAACGGGGTGCTCATTAAGCGAGGCACCACTGTATATACAATGACTTTCCTTCTTCTTTCTTCATTCTTGCCCATTCAGGAGTCTCGCAGTCTTGTATAAGTATGATTACTTGAGCCATTTGTAAAGCTTCATAATACAGTGGTGCCTCGCTTAGCGATTGCTTCATTTAATGATAAAATCGCTTACCGATGACTTTTTCGGAGCGATCTTGCGCTCCGTTTAATGATGGTTCCTATGGGTGATTTTTGCATAGCAATGTTTGGGACCATGCTTCGCATAGCAGTGACAGTTTGGGTCCCCCTGTTTCGCTTAACGATGGTTTTGACAGCCTCATGTTGGCTGTTTTTTAAATGTTTAAAAATGTTTAGAATGCTTGAAATCATAAGTGCACTTAATAAACCCTTTGTTAAACTAATTTGACTTTGTTCAAACTCTTTTTAAATTTGTTGTAATTTTCCCCCCCCATTGAGATGCATTGAATAGGTTTCAGTGCATTTCAATTGGAGAACCGTGTTTCGCTTAGCGATGTTTCCTATGGCAATTTTCGCTTAAGGACGGCAATCCATTCCCATTGGAACGGATTATCCGTTTTTCAGTGCATTTCTATGGGAAACCGCGTTTCACTTAGCGATGAAATCGCTTAACAGCGATTTTTTGGGAACCAATTATCGTTAAGTGAGGCACCACTGTATTTTAGTAAATATGGTATTGCTAGCCCTCCGTTTCTACTTGGGCCATAATTAACTGTGTTTATAAATCCCAGGGATTTACTTTTCCCTGCAATAAATTATTTCAGTATGCTTTGCCATTGTTTTATCTTTTTCGTTTCCAATTGTAGAGGGATATTTTTAATTGAAGTTTTGGTAGGATATGAGCTTTTACTATTGCAGTTCTTCCCAATAATGTTAATTTAATCTATTCCATGCTTTTATTTTTTCCTTTATAGAACTAAATACTTTTTAATAGTTCCTATAGACTAGTTGCCTTATTGTTTTGACACATATTCTTCATAAAGTTGGAGACAACATGAGTTTTCTCTTAACACTGTTCTGAAGAAGGTATCACTCTAATAATTTGTAGTCTTTGTTCAGTGGCTAAACATGTGCTTTTATCTAGGCAGCAGTTGTTTCACACATAAGAAGATAAGGCCACTAACTTGCACAATTATTCTTCAGTGATTTATCTGAGCTGTTAAAACTAGTCATAAGAATGACCCTATTGGAGCATAATGGATTTTGTACAAATTGGCATATTAGCATATTAAATCAGGTTTCCATTTTCTAAACTGTAATGGCTGTATCCTTCCACTGTGTGTAGCTTTCAGCCTGCAATGTTACACATATTCTAGGAAAAGATTTTTAGGACCAGGTGATTTCTGACATTTTAATTGTTTGTATGTATGTAACATGTATTACTAAATATTAGAAGAAATGTTTAGGTGGTGAAAATTTCCTCCCCCTCCTCCTCCTCCTTTTGGTGGTATTGCTGTGGCTGATATAGACATGTGCCTCATACATGTCATAATGTTTGTGTAGGTTGAGCTATTCGTTGTTTTTTGTTGTTTCTCCCTTTTTATGCCTGCTTGGATCCAAAGTTGCTCTTTTCAGAATGAAAGGGCTTCTACCTGAAGAATTTTTGATTAAGTAGAGCAGTGGTTCCCAACCTTGGGTGCTCCAGATGTTCTTGGACCACAGCTCCCAGAAACCCTGGCCAGCACAGCTGGTGGTGAAGGCTTCTGGGAATTGCAGTCCAAGTACACCTGGGTTATCCAAGGTTGGGAACTACTGCTGCAGAGGATACTGCTGATGGGGGTGGGGCAATTTTCATACAGTATGCTAAAACCTAAGTATTTAATTTACTTTGTATCACTGTCAAATCCTAAATTACATTATCTCCATGTGTTGTTCAGTTAATGTCTGTTTCTAAATGCTTATGGCTATATTAAGCTTACTTTCGTTTCTCAGTTCCTGCAGTGCACCATGGCTATCTGAGTGCCAATTTGGGAAGGAAACCCCCATGAATAATTTCAGTGACTTCAAGAAAACTAACTGAATGCTGTGAGAGGAAGGCTGCCATTGATTTTTCCACATTTCTGCCTGTTAATGCCTCATTGCTGTATAAATATCTTTGAGACTTTTAGTGTGTAGTTTGACAATAAACAAGTGTTCACATTTACAGTAATTCTTAGAAGTGTTCCATTCTTTATACATATGGATGGTAAGCTTTTTATATTTGGGGGTTAATATGCTCAGGACTGATAAATGGAAACAATCACATTTCATGTAATGGTTATAAACAGGGTTCAATTTACCTTGAAAGTGCTCTGACACAGTACCTGTTGGCTTAACTTTCAATAAAGATTGCAACAAGCATTCTAATATTCTACAACATTTGCTGTTTTATGTACTTTACATCTGTGAAGTACTAAATCTTTGGCATGGGTGAGATGAGATGGGAAAACAGTAGATGTCTCAAGTACCAAATGTAAGAGAAACATTTGAATATTTTTTTGTTCTAGATGTTCAGTAGATTTACTTGATGTAGGATAATAGAACATGTTCATAGTGCAGATTATATTTAATAGTGATTGAATGCATCCTGCTACTTTTAATCCTCTTTAAGTAATCCTTATGGAAATTCATATGCCTGTACAGACCACCCATTTTTCCTTTTAAACTCAATGTTTGAGACTGCTTAGAAGCGTAAAAGAAAAATAAGCTCCTACTTAGCCATTATTGTTCCCATGTAAAATCCAATAGTAGTTAAATGCATCAGTAAAATGCCTGATTTAATAGTGTGCAGATGCAGCTCCCTTCTTGCACTATGGTTGCTGTCAAAGAATAGAATCATGGACTACTCAGGAAACTTCCTGTGAAACAAGTTCTGACATGTCTGTAATAGTTTCAACTAGGTGGAAATGACAGCAGCATGTTTTCCCCCTTCTGGCTGTGCTACTTCCTTATCATTCAGCCTGAATTTTGCATCACTCTATGATTTATGGATTTCAGCAAAACAAAGACAAAAGTTCCGAAATGACTGAAGCTCTGTGTATATTTAGCTGTTTGCAACTGTCCAGTAATAGCTGTACCCTTTTCTTTTTGCCTCATGAAATAACTAGATACCGTTCTAAACTGTATAAGTGATCCTGTAGTAACTGTTTTCAGTGCTATTCCAGGAAATTATTCCAAAATAAACATGAGTTTGTTTTATATTCTTTTATACGAAAGCTGTGTAATTTTGAGATAGATTTTCGGCACAGCTGTAATTATACATGTTCTAAATTTTTCAAAAGACCTTGAAATCTGTGTAAAGCAACACTGCAACATGTTAGTTGGAACTTGGGGGTGGGCAGCAGGGGTGCAATAAATGAACATTCTCAGGAAACTGAGATACATTGCATAATCCAAGTGATTCAATATGTAATTCAGGAGAAAGCCACAATACAACTGTACCATTTCAAACTATAATGTGCAGCACAATGTTGAGATGGTTGTCAGAACAATCCCTTCAAGCATTTGTTGCTTGGCACAAGCAGATGAAAAGAGCAGGAGAAAAATCAAACAGAACAAATGATTATATTTGTCCACTTAATGTAGCATCAGAAAAGAATAGCTAACGAAGGTGAAAATTTGCTGAAAAATAATTTCTGAATCGTAGATATAAAGAATCATAGATGTATAGCAACAAACTGGATCCATTTTTTTGCAGTTTTCATTGGAATTATCCCATTGTCTGCAGTAATGGGGAAAGGTGTGAAATGCTTTAGTTAAAAGAGAAGCATGTTAAAAGACTAATTGGACATGGCACACTCTTAATCCTTTAGATGTATGCTATAGGAAAGTGCTTACAGTGCAAGTGACACACATGGAGAAGTCGAGCCCTGTCCAGAAATTAAGTAAAATCTCTCCCATCCTCTCTCTCCTTGTTTGATTTGGGAGATGATAATATTCCTTCAGTTAAAATAAATTCATTTTAGCTTAGTTGAAACCGAAGCAATCTAGAAGCTTTTAAAATCCCAGATATAGTGACCAGCATAGCTCATGTAAACGTCTTCTAAAAGCACATCACTGTGCAAAGTGTAATCTGGTCGCTGGTTGTAGTGCTGAATATTTCCAGAGGAGGCATGTGAGTGTGAGAGGGAAATGGATAGGAAGGGTAGTCAGATAATTCCTGTTACTTCCAGATGTGTGCAAAGGTGAACCCATTCCTTAGTGAGGCACGTCATCCAAAGAAAGTATGTAGTCCTTCAGTTATTCATCCAGAAGAATATGTAGCTTAGGCAGAAACCATTCAAAGTTTTACTGTGATAATGCTAAGAAGCCCTGTTTATATTCAATCCATTTCTTAGCTGCTTACAAAACCGTAGTTTTCCCAGTCCACAATGTATTCTTAATGATTATGAAATGTAAAGTTCAGATCACTCCTCTTTTATTTGAGGGAACACCTGAAGTTCATTGAAATTATGTGGCTGTTAAGTAGCACACAGCCCAGGGGATTTGCTTTGCCTCAGTGGGACACTTGTAAATAAAAACTTGCTATACATCTCTGGTTTTGAGCCATGCGTAATCTGTCTCATGTTGTGTCTGTGGAGTGTTGGCATTCTGCAGAAATATCTAAAACCAGAAATTCCTTTAGGGAATCAATTTGATATGCCCAAAACTTGCAGAAGCACAATATGTATGACTACAGAATGGCCAGAATCCTGTTGAATTCCCCACTTGTAAATAGGTGATCATGAAGTGAGCATAGATGGACTGCCGGCTGACTGTCATGCTCTTCTGCTTGCTTTGGTCAGGAAAACAATTGCATGCTTGCCCACACACTCAGTTGTACAACAGATGGCAAGCAAAGACAAACTGCACAATTGCCCTTATATGTCTGGTTTTTCCCAATAGGTTTTTTCCAATGTCCAAGTAAGTTGGGAGAGAAATGTGTCCCAGTACAGGAAAAATATGGATGCTAGAAATGTTGCCTTTGTTTACATTCCCCCCAAATTTATTTTTCCTTGAAATAAACTTCCCTGGTCCGTCTCATTCTCAGACCGTTTAGAATTGATTGTTGTAATTTCCTATTATTGTTGAGCTTACCATAATGTTGCAAGGAGATCAGCAGTACTGGATTTTTCTTTCTATTCCACATCTCTTCCTTGGCTCCCCACCAGTTCTGAAAAAGTCCTGTTCGATGAGTTCCCTTTATGAGACCTTCCTGGGCCTTCAGTTGATGTGCTGGAGCTAATGCGTCTGCAGTGTTCTCCAGAGATATTTGTAACATGAAAGGTCAGACATTCACATACACTCTCATAAGTAATGTAAACACTACCATCCTGAACCTCACCTGTGAGACTTATGTAGATGTTTTTCAACCTTTGACTTTTTTTAAAAAAGGGAATTTTAAATTGAAAGAGAATGGTCAAACTTCTCATGGGAAAATTTGTTGATACAGTGCTAGTTTTGATCCTCGAATGATCGATATAGATCTGTTTTGGTGCTTGTGGAGTTCTTAGCTATCGGAATAGCAATTGGAACAACTCTAGAAGGTAAATAAATGCCTTGATGCGGCAGAGGCACTCCATATGCGAAACTACTGTGGTGCGATCAATGTGTTGGGACAACATCTGCTTGTATAAAAATGTTAACGCACCAGGATGAGGCGGGGGTTGTAAGCATGTAATCTACAATTGCAAGCAGTGTATTTGGCCAACTCTGCTCTATCAACTAGTAATTGACAAAGGCAAGTTGGACAGTGTCATTACCTACTTGGAAATTTGGAGCATATTTTTCTAACAGTGCCACACTCCACACATGAACAGTAATAGTCAAGACTGCCTGTGCCCAATGTTGGTCTAAAACCAACACCACAGTGTTGCCTGACAAACACAAAGCAGGTTTTGGGGTGAATATTGTGAGAGGTAGAGGTTGCTTTCTCCCGGTTTGCGGAGAGAAACATTTTCCATCCATGAAACCATCTCTTGGCCATTGTTAGGGGATGCGCAAGCTAGGTCCTGACACAGCAGTAAATACTGTATGCTGTTATGGCACATATAAGGAATGTCTGGTCTCCAGATGATGGACTACAATTCCTAGCCTTCCCCATCCCAGCTGATTGGTTAGGGGTGCTGGGATGGGCTGCAATCCAACAACCCATGCATTCTGCATCCCAGAGCTAGGGTGACCAGATGAAAATAAGATTTTATCTTTCGAACAGCTGTGCAGGGGAAATAATTTCAAGAAGCATACCTTTATGTGTCTCATCTCTTCCCTGGAAGACGTCTTGCACAGAAATATAAAAGTACAGGAATCCTGTCTTCAACAGATAACATTTGTGGCTCAGTTTATGACTGTGCATGAAGATCTTTGAATTTGGAGAGGCATAGTGCCAAAAATAAGCGAACAGCTCAACATTTTTGGACACGTGCTCCTGAAAACGCTCTAAGCTTGCTGTTTCTCACATAGCAATTTTGATTTCCAGAAGCCCTAGGAAGGCAGCCAATAAGAAAGGATTATGGGACCTGTGCTGCAGCGTCATTGCAAAGGAGATGGCGATACATTCAGAATTGTTTGGTTCTTCTGACTCCAGACGTTGGCTCTACCAGCCATTGTCTACCCCACCTATCAGAACCTGTGGGAGCAGCTATCACTGTGTGCAATTGACCATGGTGTGTTTCTTGATAGGCTGCTTAGGTTGAGTATGGAAAGCAGGGCAGCCCACTGTCTTCCACCACATGAGCCAGGAAGCAATGTTGACACCCTGTTCACACCAGTAGCACCACCACATCTCTCCCCCTCCCCACAGCAAGATGCAGTACTGGTGGCTGTTTCCAGACAGGTGGTGCCTGGAGATGACCAGTTCACCTCATGCCAAATAATGGTTTAGGATTCCAGCCCACTGGGTCCCAGGCTTTCTTCTACGTTATTCAGAAGCAACATAAAACTACCAAGAGAATGCATCGGCAGGCAGAATCTGATGTGTCACTATTTTGACACCACAGCTTTATAGCTCAAGCCTGTTATAGCTCGGGGCACTTTTCTCCTAACGCAACTTCTGTCAGCTTCAACCCACAGGGCTAATAGTCCAGGTTCAAAATATATGGAACGTGGGCTCTAAAATAGCAGGTTTGCCATCTAGGGGTTGATGATTCATCCAGCCCTACTGTTAAGATATCCAAGTAATCTTTATTATTT